TAATCATTGAGATGAAGAGGTAAACTAGGTATACGGAACATGACATGACAGCACTAACTAGGCACAGCCTAGCACGTGCATTTTAATTCTTTGAGATTCAAATAAAATTAGAATTAGAAAATGAACGGCCGAAGCTCAGATAAGTTCGACCTTTCTTTATGAACTGGACCTTTAGGAACCTGAACCGTTCAACTTAGTGTGCGTTGATTTTTAGTTTGTCAAAAGTTTATTTGGTAAAAATTTATTTGGTGAAAGTAAGTTTAATGAAAGTCAGTTGTTGTAATGAAATTGTGTTTGAATATATTTTTTCAAAAGTCAGTTTGATACATTGAAAGTTGTTTGGTTTGTGATAATGAAATGTGCTTTTGAATGTACAATTACCAAAAAGGACATTGATTTATAATGATTTATAATTTTTATTATACAAATGTAATATATTGAAAATATTTAAAAAATATAATAAAGATTATAAATAACATAAATTTTGATCTATAGTGCTAAAAATTTGATCTCTAATTATTTGTATTTTTTAATTTGTAATTTTAAAAGATGTAATAAAGATTTGTAATTTTTATTATACATTAATGCTAAAAATTAATATGATTAATTACTCAATTTATAATACTAAAAAAATTGATACCTAATTATTATTATTAAAATAATAATTATATTTTTAATGAATTAACTATTTTTTAAATAAAAAAATAAGAGATTAAACTTAGGGTAGTATGGTCAAATAACATCCTACTTTTCAAATCCACTTTTCAAAAGCTTCAAATAGTTACGTTTCAGAAATCCACTTTCAGCTACTGTTTGAATGTACTTTCAAGATGTGTTTTTCTGCAAAATATTCTACCCAAACAACTTTCAACTTTCTGAAAGTGAAATTTTGCTTTCTGAACGTGAAACGGAGAAAAACCAAACGGACCCTTAATTTTTTTAAAATATTTTATTTTTTAATATCTGACTTTTATATAAAAAATTTAGGATCAACCTTGTAAACCTTTACTATTATTTTTTATTTTTAAAAATTTTTTTAAATTAAAATTTTTAATTATAATATTTCATATATTTTTTAAAAATATAAATTATAATGTTTAAAAATTAAAAATAAATGACAGAAATTTTAATTTTAAAGTATAAATATAAATTTTAAATTTTAAATTTAATTTAAAAATAAAAACAAACTTAAAAAGGTGGCTTGACCCGAATTTTTAAGGGCCTATCAGCATTTGGATTGGGTTTGAAAACCTGACTTCTTTAAAAATTATTTTTTAAATTTAAATTTTTATAAAAATAATTTTATATAAATAGCCTCTAAACTCAACCTTTATTTATGATTTTAAATAAAATCCCTTTGGAAAGCTGCAAGGACGCAGTTGGTTTAAAAAAAAAAAAAAGTAAAGAAAAGAAAGCTGCAAGGACGCAGTAATGCGCGCGTCTCCGATAAAGAAGAGCAACTTGCACGGGCGGCACTCCTGCAGCTTCACATGGATGACTGGAAAGTTTCCTATGAACACGGATGATCTCCGTTAAAGCGACAGTAATTGATAACAGTGGCTTCAATGACCCTCAACGTGGCAGTTTCGTTGCTTCGATCAATTCCTTGTTCAAGTTTCAGTGCAGATCACCCTTTCTTTTTTCGTTTGCCAAAAAAAAATGCAGAGTGAAACATGTTGTGTGCTGTATATTGATTGATCATGAAACTGATGTTGGTGCGTATCTGACTGGGTCATGGACCAAATGAGAAATAAAGTGAGGAAACCAGGGATGATGAAAAAGATGAGGTGAGAGAGAGAGAGAGAGAAAGAGAGGAGAGGAGCTGGACTTTAAGATGGCTTTTGCAAAAGTAAGAAAGAGACTTCGTGCGACCCGAGTAACCGACCGTGGAATCCCTTTTCCACAATCCCTTCACATCTGCACGTACAAGCCACTGACATCAATATTTCACAATTATTCCACGCTGCATCTACATGCATGCCTTTTCTCTTTCTCTTCAAATTACCATCTATCTGTATATGTGCTTGTACAAATTAATTAATCATGGAATGCCATTTAAATTTGACTCTGTATTCGCTGTCTCTGTATTCTTCTCTCTGCTGCTTTTTTTTTTAAAAAAAGAAAAGAGATAACAATTAAGATCTCTAGTATTAATGCTGGAAACAGTACTGAGGATGGAAAGGGGATTTGGTTTGAGATGGTGCGTGTGTGTATTCGCGAAGAAGAAACTTGGATGGATGTCAAAGAATTAGCTCTGTTAATTTTAAAAACTACCAATTTGTTTCCCCCGATTGTTTAGATTTTCTTTCATCCTTGCCAATAATTAAGCGGTGGTGAAATGAAGATGGGGGTTTGCTTCTCAAGGGCGGACCCACGTTGTAGGTGGGTGGGGCCTCGGCCCCTCAACCTCGAAAAAACTTCTCACACCGAGAGATGTACATGCACCAAATACCAATGTCCACAGGAGAAGGGGCATTTGCCCCTATTTAAATAAGTAAAAAAATTTCACTTATTTTCATGTTACAATTGCACGTGTTCCCTTTAAAATAGCGATTTCCCACTTAGAAAAAATTAATTGTTTCACATCCTCTTTAAAATTAATCAAACATTCATATTTAAAATGCTAGAGTTTACTTTTAATCCATTTTTATTCATAATTATAATCCTTTATTTTTATATAAAATTTTATTTTGATCCCTTAATTTTATAAAATTATTCAATCACTTAATTTTAACACCATAACTTTCATCAATAGAATTTTTTTACATTAAATTTTTAAATATTAACAAAATATTCTCAAAAATTTTTAAAATAATAATGATTGTGCAAAAAATAATCATTTAAAACTCTTGGTATTATGATTAAATGACTAAAAAATACTTTCTAAAATTAAGAGACTAAAATAAATCATTGCATGTAGTAAAGGACCAAAGGCACACTTTAGCTTATTAAAAAAACATCATTTATCTTTTATTTACATTTAAAGTAAATTCATGATGGGAACGAAATTAATACATATTTTTAAATTCTGATATAATTTATTTATATATCTATTTAGTTAATATTTATAATTTTATTCTTTCAAAAATTATTAATATTTGTGTTTGGTGTAAATGCTGCCCCCGTTAATAACTTTTTTTGGGTCTGTCACTGCCCGCACCCTTTAATGGTAGCTGCGTGAAGAAGAAAAAGAGGAAGGGTGGGAATTGTGATATGGTGAGGCAAAGAAGGAGGGTCTCAAAATAGTGAGAGGAAAGAAAGAGAGAGAGCTAGTAAGCGTGAGGGATCGAGATTCGATATCATTTTTTTTTTCACTCCATCCTAAAGATATTTTTAAGAAATATTTAATTTTAAAATATAAAATACTTTAATAAAAATAAAATCTTATTAATTATGTCTTTTCAATATTATTTTTATTATATTCTCTGTCTTTAGTATTATTTGACAAATGAAGTATTAAATAAAAAATATTTTTAAAAGTTTATATTTTTATTTTAAAAAAATAAAGTTATAAATTGTATTTAATAAATTTTATTAATACATGTGATTTCTTTTAAAAATATTTTATAAATTGAGATGAAGTTAGTGTAATACTTCCTTATATTCTTATTATGGAACTCATTTTAAAAAGATTTTTATCTTCAATACAAGACATTTGATGAGATATTAATACATATATATATATATATATATATATTTTAATATTATCTGTATTTAAACTCATTAATTATTAGAAAGAATGCAGTACATATTTAAAATTTTGTGTTTAAATATGAATAAAACTAAACATTTATTTTATTTTTAATTATTAAATTTTATCTCCTTGATTTCGGTGAGATAAATGTGCATTATAATAGAGAGGAGAGAGACTGATTAATGTTAAAAACATTGGCCTCCCCAAACTTTCGAGGCTGGTTCTCCCGCTGTTGGTTGTGCTGTAGAAATTGGACGAGCGTCGAGGGAATTGATGGGCGATGGAGTTTTAGAAAGCCACGAGACTCAAGACTACCTACGCCATCAAAATGACTCTGACGGCAGGGACAAGATTGAAACACGCGCGCCTTGATAAAATACGTGTTAAGTTTCTACAATGTGAACAAATTTGCGCTCACGGGACTGCCTGCGTGTGTGTCTGAAAATTAAGGTACGTAAAACCGGACCGGTCATTGAACCGGTCATGACATTGGGTCACGGGTTAGTGGTTCAATTAGGGTTGAACCGGGGTTGAACCGGTGGCAAACCGGTCATGATTAAAATAATACAATTTAAATAAAAAAATATTAATTATAAGAACATTCAACCAAATACAATACTTCAAATATTTATCCTTACAATGACAACCTTTCTATCATATGATTAACATGTCCATGGTAACTAATATTGACCAACACCAAAGTCATCATTAACTTCATTCAAATCTCCAGGCATTGAGACATTAGGACTGGAATGAGAAAAACCAGAACCACTAGCAACATCAGGCAAAGATGGGGGCTCTAGAACATTCATATATTCATCACCTACAATACAACAAATAGAAATTAATACTAATGAATGGCATTTCAAAAAATTCATATACTTGTATTAAACATGATAGTAAATTTAATAAACCTTCATAATCCCTCTCAAGGATTAATGGAGTAGCTATGGTTTCATTGTGAATGACACTTTCAAGATTTGCAACTTCTTGAGAATCAAACTCAGGAGCTGGCTCTTCCTCTTCTTCAGCCACCCAAAAGTCAATTTTGTCAATTGATTTATAATCAATGGGATCATAACTTTTATTTTTTCTCAATTGACTCCTTGAAAAAAAATAAAATAATCAAATATGATAAACAATAATAAAATTCATATTCAATTATAAATTATAAAAGCATTGCCATTTAAAACTCTAATTTTTACCTATGCTTCAATCGCAGATTATAATTTGTAAAAACTAAATCATTCAATCTTTGATGTTGTAATCTATTTCGTCTTTTGGTATGGATGTGTTCAAACAAACTCTAATTTCTTTCACAGCCAGAAGAAGAAGAAGTTTGGCTAAGAATACGCATTGCAAGAGTTTGCAATTCTGGAACAGAACCTCCATAGAATGACCACCATTCATCTGCAAATAAAAGACACTTAGTTAGATGTTAATCATATAATAACTAGAATTACCATGGACATGTTAAATAATAAATATGAATACTCACAAGGATCTAATTTCTGAGCTGCTCTTTCACATGAAGTTTTGTCAAAAGATTCTTTACGATCACGATACAAGCTCAATTGCTTCATCATTACAATATAATCAATTTCTTCACTTTCATTTGACTCAAACACATCAAGCATTGCATCCATTAACCTTCTCTTGTGAACAAAATTCCCATCATACAAGAATGCAGGATTCAACAAATATGCCGCTGCATAAAGATTTGTCTTAAAGTGCTTATCCCATCGAGCTTGAATAATGCTTGTGTAAGGCTTGTAATAATCTCTCTTATTGTTGAATGTTGCCTTAATTTCTTTTTTTGCCCTTTGCATGCCTTCATAAACAGAAGGCAAAGAAGGCTTCTCATCTGAATCCACAATTCTCAACAACTTTATAAGAGGAGATACAACCTTCACAATTTCTAAGCAATTACCCCAAAAGCCATTATCTAATATGATGGCAGTAACAATTATTCCAGCTTGAGTCTTTGACAATTTGTGATCCACAAAGTGCTTATCAGTCACCAAAGCTTGCAAGTCATGCTTATGCATATATATGCTATGCAACGTAATAAATGTAGTAGCAAATCTTGTTGCACCAGGACGTACAATTTCTTTCCAACCCGATCTTTTCCTTAGCCATGACAAGAAGATCATATGATTATAAACAAAAACAGTTATCTTTGATGCCTTAGTTGCAAGTGCTGACACATTGTCCAAGCTTGCTATATCTTTTAAAGTAAGGTTCAAACAATGAGCAGCACAAGGTGACCAATAAATATTTTTATATTTATCCTTAATCAACTTGCCACATGCTACATAATTTGCAGCATTATCAGTCACCACATGAACAATGTTCTTAGGACCAACCCACTCAATCACTTCACAGAACAACGAGAATAAAGTCCTAGCATCTTTTACCAAATCTGATGCATCAACAGATTTCACAAAAACCATTCCATGTGTAGAATAGACTAAGAAATTAATCAAAGTTCGCTGCCTCACATCTGTCCAACCATCAGCCATGAGTGTACATCCAGTGTTTTTCCATTTAGCCCGATGACTCTCAATAAGTAATTGACATTCTTTTTTCCAATCTGTCAACAAATTGACTCTAAATTCATAAGCATTAGGGGCTTTAAACCCTGGCCCAATAGAAGCAATAGCATCTATGGCTTTTTGAAATGAAGGGCAATCTAATGCATTAAATGGAATGCAATTGATGATAGCCCATTCAGCAATAGCCATTTTTGCATTGTACTGTGCTTCTTTTGTTGCAAACACACTTTTTATGCCAGGCTGGGAACCAGGAGTTGTCCTAGGGGCAAAATAATTCTCAACTGAAATAGTAGAAGCTTGCCTCTTATTGGCACCTCTCTCAGGGACTATCTTAATTGGAGTAGGAGCAATTGGATCATTAGTTTCAAGGTCCCCTATGCCTACTTGTTCTTGTTCTTGTTCTTTTCTATCATCAACCTTCCTTTTTCTCCCACCTTTCAAAGACTCTACCATTCTGTGACGTACATCATGAGGAACTTTTTTACAAGAAGCTACTTGACCACTTACACCAGCAAGATGTTGCTTCATTCTGTTAATCCCACCTCCTCCATAGCTTGATGCACAATAAAGGCAAGTATATATATTTTTCTTGCCTTCTTTTCTTAAGGCAACATGTGCCCAAGCAGGATCAGTTTTTCCACGCATAGATGGGGCCTCATATGTTGAATCATTACCACTAGGAGGGGGATCATTGGAATTTGAGGTAGGATTCTCATTTCTATCACTACTACTAGGATTACTTCCAATATCCATGATCAATGCAATAATTATATTTTAACCTGCAAGCTAAAATAATGACTAAGCTTCAATTTCATTTTTCCACACAAATGCTGATTAGTCATATTCAGTGTTGACTGCATAGTTTTCAAGTTTGGCCACAAAGAAAGAAGGAAAAATAAGAAGCTAGATATGCCCTGTCTATAACATAGTGCAATCCGTAGTTTAAAATTAAGATAGAAAATCACAACATTTTTAAAATGCACACACAGTATGAACCTGAGCAGAGGATAAAACATGTGCCTTGAGATTGCAATCTATATAATAGCAATTCACGTGCAAAGATCTCATTTTCCCAACCAACATATATAACCCCCAAATCATCAACAAGATAAACAGATCACAGAGTAGGAAAAGATCAGAAAGCGCCATCAATAATCCCTATTTAATTTTAAAGGGCTTGGACATGATCGATCTACAAAGTCATGAAGCATAGGCTTGAGCTGTCAGATTCAAAGTCCTCTCCATACTTACTTGAAATATTAAACAGAACCATAAACTGAAATTATATTGTCAAACAAGATCAAACACAAAATCATTACCAGAAGAAAGCCTAGATCCGAAGCCAAGATCAAACATTATATTATCAAAGCCACAGATGATTATGAAACTAAACCAGTACATACATATAGCTTCATTTCCGAAGCAACATAAAAGCACAAATTAACAGTAAAGAAACCTTAAAACCAGAAAAACACAAAACACCAGAAAGTTTCACACATACAAAATGATCTGCCGAACAAGCAAGAAACAAATCACGAGCAACAGAGTCGACCACTTAAGCTGAATCACGAAACAAAAAACAGAGTTGTGCGCGATCAACAGTGACTAACCTGAAGCAAAATGCGAGCTGCGCACACCGAGCTGTCACGAACTGACTGGCTGAGATTTCAGATCGATCAGGCTAAGAGACGGAAGTCGTACACTGAGCTAAAGGAGAGACCGAACAGCAGAGATAGAGAGAGAGAGAGCTGGAGAGGACGGATGGTCGGAGACAGGGAAAGGCGAGAGAGGAGGGTCGGAGAGTCGGACGCTGATTAGGGCGAGAGAGAGGACTGAGGAGAGACGGTAAGACACAGACATAAGTCACGAAAGGGAAAGGCGGAAAGCTGGTGCTGTCTGGCGTCCGTCCGCGTCTGGGCTTCATACCATGGGCTCTGGATTTGGACCGAAAGAAAATTAAAAAAAAAACAAATCCCCCAAAACGACGTCGTTTTGGGGATTTTTGTCTGAAAAATCATGACCCGGTTAACCCAGTCAACCCATCGGGTTATTCGGGTTACACCGGGTTGACCGGGTTATACCGGTTCACCCCCTCACCGGTTTAGGAGTAAACCCAGACGGACAAGGGACCGGATCACAGGTTTTCGGGTTGACCCGGCCGGTCCGGTTCGGTTTTCAATACAATGCTGAAAATATCCCAGGAGAGAGAATGGGATGCAAGCAATGGAGGAACGGCCAGGGGGCTTGACAAGACCTTGCAAATTTATTAATTTAATGACGAGGAAACAATAAACTTCAAGGCCATAATACTCGGAAGGAGATCCGGAATATTCTGTTGGCACTTGGCACCTGCGTGAGATGCCCTTACCTTACGCTTTTACTCTCGTTGTAGGGGCCCACCCCCACTTATTATATATAAATCACATATATCATATCATTTATAATCTATTTAATAAAAATATAATATTTAAATAATATTAAATATAAATTTATCTTTATATTAATAATAGTAAAAAAATATAAAAAATTAAATATATATTTTTTATAAAGTAAAATTAATTTAAAAAATGTCAAGATTTTATTTAAATTAATTGAAACATTTTAATTAAATAAATCACAAATGATATAATACATTGGACCTATTTAAGCATTTCTCATGATATCAATAGGTTAAAATAAAAGAAGAATTTTATTGAAACGTCATAAAAAAATTAATTATCATAAATTTTAATTTAATTATTAATAAATTTTATAATAATTAATTTTTTATGCGATCTGTAATTTTTTCAAGAAAATAATCCAATACGCCTCTCTGTCGAGGGCCCCATTTTCAATCTCCCTTCTTTCACAATAAAGTCATCATCAGTGGCTCCTACTTTTGGTACCTTTCCCCCTTTCTTTTCAAAAATTATTGTAAAATGTTTTTTTTATATGAGATGTAAAAACTAGGGAGGATACACCAAAATGAATGGCTCCAAAGGTTAAAAATCATTTGTGAAATTTGTTTTTTAAAAAATGTGCAAAGTCATGATACACGAACGTGAAAAGCACAGAATCAAAAAAGGCTGCAGATGAGGAGAGTAATTTATCAGGTCATTTATCATTGGTGTAATTTCATTTTAATTATGAATGTATTTTTTAATTAAAAAAAAAAGAAAAGCACAAAATGACACGAAAGCCGAGCTGTAAAGGGTCCATTAACTTCGAAAAAAATAACTTGCAATGGTCATCACCAAGCCAAACGCGGCTGTGAGATCAGGCGGGTTGCCTCTTCGTCCTGTCTCCGGATATAAGAATTTTCTCCTCCCCTCTTTCTTTTTTCTTTCTAGCTTTAACATCTAGGTTTGGATAGTTTAGATTTAATTTTTTATAAAATTATTGTTAAAATGTTAAATAATAAAAGATAAATATTTTATAAAAAATCAAATACAAACTGTCCAGAATATTTAAGACGCACACCCGCCAAACCTATAGAGGAGCTAGCTAGGATGGGAGTTGATTAGTGATTACATTGGAGCGGTGAGGAACCTAAGCTTCTCGCTTTTCTCACGGTGGATGGGAAGTGGGTGAAGTAATAATGTAATGTGAACATCTAATTAAACTAGTAGATCTCCAATAAAAAGGTGGGAATGAGCGGGATTCCGATTAATTCAGACTAAGTTTAATGGGTTAAATTAAATAAGTTTAAAAAATATTAGGACTAGATTTGAAGGTTTAGAATTTTTTTTTTTTAACTTCCATTTGAACAAACTTGAAGAATTTCAAACCAAATTCAAATTTGAAAGGTTTGGCTTAAGTACCCATTTAAAAAAAAAAGAAATGAAATTAACATTTAATTTAGTCTTCACTTTGTGCTCATAAAATATCTCAAAAACTCTCACTTCGCATATTTCATGGTCCACCGATCATGATCAATATGCTTAACTAAACCCTCTTGACTGTGTATCATGGATGTATCAGGACGTAGGGATTTCCAGTGTAATATGAATTTAATTCACTTAACAAAATAAAATGTTTATTTAATTCGTTTAATATAAGGTTCATTTAACATGATATTTTTTTTGAATATTTAACATAATAATTTTAGCAAAATTAGTTTTTTTTCCTGGCCTCAATGTAGCTAGGAATTGAACTAGATTGCATGTTTTTTTTAAAAAAATTCATACTTCCAACAATTACTTGTATATCACAATCAAATACATTGCACTAGGGTTGTTCAATTTATACCAGTCTCGATCAGCCTGATTTCATTCCTGTCTGAAAACAATCGGGATGAAACTCTATAAGATAAGATAGAAAATAGTTAGAAGCTAAGTAATATTTAAATTAAATGTAGATTGAGACTTTATGAGATAAGAGATTATGTAGATGAAGATTTTTCATATATAAAAAAAGTAGTCAAATAAATAATATTGATATCCATTAATTTGCAGCCATTTACGTTTTTTAAAATCATAAAATCATGAAAAAATATGTGTCCTTGCATTTTACTTGTGCTTTGTTATCAGTCTTTATACTTTTTTTGATGTCTTAAATTCCTATATTTTTACTTTTTATTATTTTAAACCCCTTCATAAATAAATTGTTGGAATCTAGGATATCAAAAAAAAGTAAAAATTAAAAAAAAATGTGAGCAAATTATAGAGATTAAAGTTATATTTTTCATAAAAACTTCTATAAACCGTCATACCTCACCTCTTTCCAAGATGACACATAGAGTAGATTAAATTGGTCCAAATACCGATCTATTCAACCATGGTTAGGTTAGATTGTGATTGGACCTTTTTAATTTAAAATAATATTGTTTAAATAATACATATGAATACAAAATAATTTAATCAATATTTGTTCGTGTATTGTCATGCGTGTTCAAATATGTCTCGTGATATTTGTTTATATCAGTTTCACATATTCCAAATCAACATAATTTTATTCATGCCTAATTTAAATTGTCAAAAGATGAACATTAAAAATAAATTTATAAAATAAAAACATGAATAAAAGACAAAGCAATCGTTACCTATAATGATATTACAAATGCAATTTTAATTTTAATCACAAAAGTACTACATGTAAAATGCAATATGCGATGTTTGTATTGGCAAGAGTGCGTGTTGGGAGGTGATGGGCTGCCGGCACGCGGCACTCTTACATGTCAATAAAAGACAAAGCAATCATTACCGTTTATCTTTTAAAAACAATCTTGGCCGTTGACTTAAAGCTTGTTTTTTGTCCTCTCTCTTCTACCAATGCTCTGCATTTCATTGCAGGCTTCAAACTGGCATCTCTACAAATTTCGACACGCACAAAAATAAGTTGAGCCCAGTACAACTTGTATTTTTCTCAAATCTATACAGGCCAACTTGTATGGTCTACAGTAGCCCATAATCCCGCCTCAAACTATAATACAAAATTTTGAGGTCATATTATTAGATTGCAAATAATACTTCATAAAACGCAGGATATCATGTACTTTTTAAAGAAGATCACCTCCCACTTACCCTTGGTTTTGTTGGTAGGATGAAAAGATGTCCTTTTACATCCTGTCATGTTACTCGGCTGAATTCATATCAAATTTGCTTTTTTGTGTTTGGGTGCTAGTGAAATAGGTTATAATTATTTAAATACGAGATTTTAGTTTTAAGTTTGTGTAAATAAAAAAAAAATACTACCATCAAACCTGATAATATCTGAATCTGATCTAATTAAATAATCATATTAAAAATAATTGTTTCCTCGAATATAAATTATTT